GTTTTTAAATCATTGACTTTCAGAAGATCATAGGCAGGCCTTTCCTCCCAGGGGATGCTGGGAAGATTCAAACCGCCAACCTCTGGGTTAGTAGTAGGCACTTAAGTGTTCGTACCACACAAGAACTCCCATCTTAACACAGAGACTCTGCATAATTGACTGTGAAATTCACATAGGAAGACACTAGCACAGCTCTATCCCATCAACAAACTTTGAGTTTCCGTCAAATCCCTCTATGTCAACAATTGCTACCAGATTTCTATCAAAGGTCTTTTGGGCTAAAAGGATTGTTCCCATCTACTACCTGGTTTCAGAGCATATTTCTGATTTCCTTTCTTTCTGTGTTCTGACTTACCATTGTCAGAGATGTCCAAGCTGGTGATATTGTGGATTTCAGCAATGCAGCCTTCTAAGACCTGTGCACCTCCTGATCGCAGCTGGAAAAACACCGAGCAGACACAAGATAAAGGACTCGCCTGCTGCAGGTGTGACAGAGACAAAAAAACTAGAGAGAGAATTTAGTCTCAAAGAAAAAGTGAAAACTTTTCAACTCCAAAAATGGAGAATGACGATGGCAAAGAACTGATCACCAGTTAAGGAAGGGGTCTCCTACAGTACACTAGCCAGGGATAAATCTAAAGGTGTTAGCAAGAGAAATCGAAAAAGAGGATGGAGACTACCCAAGTCCATCAGTAGTGAGACAGTGCATGCCAGCCCCAAGAACAGTCTTCATTTCTGACTTTTTGAACATTTAGAACAGGTATTTTTTATATGTTTGAAACAGGTATTGTTTTAGTAGATCCTTCAAGGTTTCAACATGTAACTCACCACTCGTTTAGCAGCAAAGCAACCAAACCCCAACCAATCCCACTGCTATCAAGTTGATTCTGGCTTCTAGTGGTAAGGGCAGAGTCGACCTGCTCTGTAGGGTTTCTGAGCCTGTAAGTCTTTATGGAAGCATATTGCCTCATCTCTCTCCTGCAGAGCAGCTGGTGGGTTCAAACTGCTGGCCTTTTAGTTCAGCCGTTCTCAACTCTTTTGGGGGTCGAATGACCCTTTCACAGGGGTCGCCTGATTCATAACAGCAGGAACATCACAGTGATGAAGTAGCAATGAAAACAATGTTATGGTTCGGGGGTCACCCCCACACGAGGAACTGTATGAAAGGGTTGCGGCATGAGGAAGGCTGAGAACCCGTTTTAGTTAGCAGCCCAATGCTTAACCTGTGTGCCAGCAGTGCATATCCAAGGCAACCCAAGGAGACAAGAAAGTCTTACTGTGGATGTGAACCATGTCCAGAAGGACCCACACCTCAACTCGATGACCATTCAATAACGTGTATGCAAACTTGATCCAGAGAAGGAAAAGACGGTAGCTAAATCTAAAATACTAATATTACAGTTTCTTACTAAACTAAGAGCATATTATTATTCTCTTCTCACTGCAGAATTTAATCCAAAGACAAAGGCCACCTATAAAACCAATCAATGCCTTTTAACCTTCCTGGGTCTTATTCTCACTGCCACTGAGTCGACTGTGGCTCAGAACTATCCCATAGGACAGAGCAGATCTGCCCCTGAGGGCTACCGAGACTAAATCTAGGGACTTTGGCAGCCTTATCTTTCTCATATAGAATGGCTGGTGGGCTTGAACCACTAACCTTGTGTCTAGCAGTTCCACTAACCCATTACATCAGAAGCAAAAGGCAAAGGTTACACGATGCATTCAGTGGAAGTTGTTCAGTTCCCACTGTGTTAAGAGTTGCAATTGATGGAAGTTTGCCAAGTTGTGCCCCTTTTGCTCAGTGAGCTTACCATCTAATAAGGGAATAGAAACTTATTTACTGGAAAGCTCTTTGTCAAGGAGCATGGACTCTCCTTTACTTATTCAGGAAAAATGGAACGTATACGTTCCTAACAAATATATAATACATCGTGCTCTTTCTACTTGTTCCAATTTTGGTAGGCATATTTCAAAAATCCTTATTTCACTATTTCAGAAGATACACTTTGATGGTGCCCTGAATCCATTTGGTGTGTTCAAATTAGGCCTTGCTTACTTTTGAGGGAAACAGCAGATTTGATTATTCCAAAAGGGTATGCCACAGTCCAGTGAGGGTGGCCTTCCTTCTTCAGAGAATCCAAGACCATGTCCACACAGTTGATGGGCATCTAATCTACCTCCAAGGGTGAGAACCTGGCTCACTTCACTGCACTGTTCTGTTTTCTCTTGAGCTCTTCACTGAGCCAAGAACCATCACACCAGTCAGAGTGGGCTGGGGCTGGCCTGCAATCAGACTTATTGGTTTGTGACCAAATGGGTACAAAAACTGATGGGAAACATTTTAGAAACCTTAGCAGTAATCATTTTGGGGGTGATGAACCTAAAATAAAAAGTGCATGGATGGGGTTGCAATGAATGAGTTGAGACAAACATGGATGCATCTTTGAAGGTGTAACGGATGATCTATTCTGTAAGCCTTCACCCAATTCACAACAAAAAGTTTTTGTTTTTATTTTTTTAAGGTGTGGCTTATATTTTCTATGCCTTAGTGTTATTTTCCTAGTGTTTCACATATATTGTTACTTACAAAACTATTGGTTGACAATGGATTGGAGGCTTGAAGCTAACAGATAGATAAACAAAAGAAAGTTCTTCAAATATTTTAGAAGCACTGCTCTTAAAAGGTCACAGCATGGCTTGTTAATAACACTCAATAGGTGTGATATTTAAGGGCTGGATTTTTCTTAACTTGATAAATGGCTGATGAAATTTGTAGTGCGTATATATATATATGTAATCAAATATGTCAATATAGCCTAATTTATATATTTGTCAATTCTAAAGTTGAACTGTAAATTGGCAAAGTACTTACACAATGGCCAAGCTAAGGAAAGCCCAAGGAGAGAAAACAAAAGAAAACAAAAAACCGTTATCAGCAGTGAGTAGAACAAAAATTAGAGGAGAGACAAAGTCTCTACTAATACATACTACAAAAAATGCAAAGAGACAACAATTACACCCAAATTAAAGTTGCTCCCAATTAAAAAAAATTTTTTGAATAAGAAAGTAGCTAATCTTTCAGTTACCCATAACATCAGACTGAATTCACAAATTATTAGATGCTAAAATTCCTCCCAAAGATAAAGCTCTCCCCAAACAGTAAAAGCTTTTCTATTTCTATAAATGAAAATTTTTAAAAATGAATTTGCATAATTAGAGGCTGGGTCTGCCTGTGTGCATGTAAAACTGGCTTTTAAATTACCCTCATCTGGATCCCATACTAGCATTATTTAACAGAGAACAAGATCAAAGAGAAGCGATGGGGCTGAATGCTTTTTCAAGTGTTACTTTCAAGAGAATCCTCTCCTGGCTCAAAGAAGGTAGAACATGTCATGTGGCACACCCAGTTCTAAGGACACGGTTACATCTAATAGTCAAATATTCATCATATAGGAGACAAGAAGCAAAGAACATGAAAATTTGGATAAACTCCCCTACCTCAAGGTCACTTGCTATTTTTAAAAGATGTGGCACATATGATAGATTTAAACATAAAATAGCTCTAAATTAACCACTTATATACCACTGTAGCTCAAATTATGGTTTCTGAAAATCCATTTTTATGCTGGGTAACTTTCATATTGAAAGTGTAAATAGTCGCAGTATCTCCAAAGACAAGAATTGGCTTGGAAGCCCCCAATTGGTTTGAAAAAAGCCCAGTTGAAAGTGCCTAACTATGACCGTGGGTGATGCCAACGGGCAATGAAGAACCTAAAGAAAGATGGCTGTAAGTCACCTTCAAAGTGTGCACACTTGTATGCATTCTCTAACTTCACAGATGCTTGAACCCCTTCAGGGTTTCACTGGGCACCCAGGCCTGACAGGACAGGGAGGTGGGAGCAGGGCCAGTGATGCTAAACACAGAGCAAATGCATCTCCTCAGCTCAAGGCTGGCTGAATGACAATCACAGTAAGTGGAATGCTCTCAGAACTTTCCGCGGGGTCTTACTCACTACAAAGTTTAGTGTTTGGGCTCCTTTTTTCTACTCATCATCGAAGCACCTCGGTGAATCAAGGAATCAAGTGCACAAAAGCTTTTTCCCTCCTTGAAAGTCCCAAGCGCAACATCAGACGGCACTAACCCTCAGCTGTCATGGACAGGCCTTTGCATCTTCTCTTGGAAGGAGCCTCGGCTTGAAGAACTTAGTTCAAGCATTTATTCACTCACTTTTGGGGTTGTAGTCATAAAGTCCTGACTTTCTAAAATGAGCAACCCAGAAATTCCTTTAAGGTAGATGGGTACACAGGGAGATTGCACATGAATGTCAACATTACTGCTCCCACACTAGACAGTTTTGAAGCTTTTCTTCAGATTCAGTCTCCAGGGCAGGACCACACACTCCCTTGAACATCAGCAGTGGGGAAAAGTCCCTACCCTTTGGCCGGGAATTAGTAAGGAGCCAGCAGTCTGGCCATGAAGGGTAATAACATTTGTTATTCAAAGCCAGGTGGGGCTATAAACTGACCAGACCAATTCTTCCTGAATGATTTTTAAAAGTTTACATTCAGGGCAGTGAATTATTTATGGCTCTTTTACCCACAGTTGTTTGTTTCTCTTATTCCCACAAAATGACCTTTTCCTGGTGGGTGTGGGTAAGAAGATGGGGGCAGATACTGATTGTAGTACACAGCTCAGTTGGGAGTGATTACCATCCTGCTGGGTATAAAGTAAGCAAGCCTTGGTGGGGTTAGGAGTGTGTGGGGGTGGGGGGTGGGGTCTCAGGAGGGGAGTGTGTCCTCTGGACGCTGAGATGCCAGCATAAGGAATCTCTTTAATCTAGGAGACAGCTTGAAGACCAGAAGAAAGAGCATCAGCAGCAGAGCCAGGAGCCAGAGCCTGAGCCAGAGGAATGGACTTCTCAGCCCACAGAGCAAGCCAAGCTGAGTGCTTTGGGCAGGAGGCTGGCTTACTGAAATGGGTGCATCTGGACATGTCATTGGATGCAGAGGGTGTGCTGGCCTGGAGCTGAGTGCTTGCATGAAGGAAAATGTCTACTCCTCATTAGATTGAACCAAATAAGCCTAATAGCCTGTTGTTTCTGACCGACAAAAGTGGCAATTTTCTATGGTTTGACTAGTATGAGTCTTTGGAATTAATTTTCAATTGGATAATAAAGCATTTAAGGGATAAAGTGTTCTTTGGGCACATGATGCCAACTTATTTGAAAAGCAAATGTTTTAACATACTGAAGATTCTAATAACCACCACTGTCAGTATTATTAGAAACAAGACAGGAATAAGAATCAGCAGAGCATATTTTCATGACAGCTCTGCTGCCAGCAGACTGGATTATTTCTGCTTTTTTAAGACCTCAGTTTCCTTGCTTGCTAACTACAGAAACCAGTGATCATGTATATCCATTCCAGCTTTGATAATAGAATGAAAAAGGAGATGTTATAATAGTACCACTTGGGGTATTTATTCAGAATAGTAAAGGCATGTAATTTTAAAAACACAAACAAAACCCAGAGTCATAGCAGCCCTATAGGGCATAGCAGAACTGTCTCTGTGGGTTTCCAAGACTGTAAATCTTTACAGGAGCAGAAAAAGCTGCATTTTTCTCCTAAGGATCACACTTGGTAGTTTTGAACAGTTGAATTTGCATGCAGTTCACAGCCCAAAGCATAACCCACTATACCACCAGCACTATGATTCTTATCAACTTTGTTTGATGCAACTATTGGTTTGTTTTGTAAGGTTAAGCCTTCCCATTCTCTTCTCCTTCCTGTACCCCATAAAAACAGTTTGTAGTATTGGCATGGCCCTTAATAAAGTGCTAGTAAGCAGATAATTAATTCATAATGCCAGCACCAGTGTCTATTTTATGGCCTGTGTTCATAACAGAGAGATCAGTGATTTATGCAGGAACATCCCACAATGCAGCATTCGTTCCTTGTCAAAAGAACAAGGCTAGTAAATCACCCAGTTGGGTTTCACCCCAGTTCAAAAGAACCCCCCCAAAAAATGTCCACTAAAAAAATTTTTATCATGTAATTGCCTGTTTCTAGACTTTTGAGATATGGCAACGTTCATCTCACTTAACACTGAGTGCTGGCTTGCTGCCTGGCATTGTAGCAGGAGCCAAGGGAAACACAGAACAGTCAGACACAAACCCTACCCTCCAGAAAGTCACTCCCTGGGCAGAAAAGCCAAATGAGGAGACTGTCTATAATCACTGCAGGCCATTAAGTGATTGAGTGTCCAAAGCAATCTAACTGTCCCTATGTGCTACAGACACAGGGGGAAAGCAACCTCAGAGGGTTGCGGTCATCAGGGGAGACTCTGTAGACAGACTTGAAAGATAGGTGTGCGCACACCATACATTCACACAAACAAACCTAGATAGACAGACATACAAACAAACAAACAAACGAGAACCTGCTGCCATCGAGCCCTTCTGACTCACAGTGACCCAACAGGACAGGGTAGAACTGTACCTGTGGGAGTAGAAAGCTTCATCTTTCTCCCCCAGGGTGGTGAGGGCTTTTGAACTGCTGACCTTAAGGCTAGCAGCCCAATGAGGACAACTATACCACCGGGGCGCTAGACAGCATAAGCAAATCGTCTTTGTGTGCTTACTACATGCCAGCAGCTTTCAAAGCCTGTTACTGCTGGTTGCCCTCAGGGTTATTAGTACTGACGGCGCCCCATGTGTGCAGAGTGAACTGCTCCACGGGCTGCGGCCTCTCAGACCCAGCTCTTAGGGGGGTTGAGTCATCACGGTTTCTGGCTAGTAGATGAATACTTCTCAAGTTGTTACACATGCGCACGTACACACACACACAACTGGGCATGTTGCTTGAGCAAGTGTGCACATGGGGCCTCAAAAAGTTGGTGGGAAAAACCCGCCTTTTATCCCCTATTTTGAGGAGCTTTTGGGAGACTGCTTGTTCACAGGATACTGGACTTGCACTAGCTACTTGCAGAAAGGGAGCCCATAAGGAAAACAGTGTTTCAGAAAGACAGGGCTGAGGGACGGGATCTAAGAAGACTTCCCTGTCCAAGACTTTTACACCTTTTCTTCACTTCAATCCAAGTTGGGTTACATGCATTTGTCCCCTGCAAGGAATTCTGTATGTTACATTCATCACAATGGGGAAGCCAAGTTTGTGGCTTTCTATCTCAAAGCTTTAGCACCAAACACTTAGATAACAGGCAGTGCGATTGGGGGAGGTGGGGGAAGACATTAACAAACATACTTGACTGCATTCGGAATAGTGTTTTCTGACTGTTTACAGATAGAACTCACAAAGTGCAGAGCCTCAGAAACGTCTAGAATGTGTGGGGTTCTGCTTCATTGACACCTGGTGGAATCACAGTGTCAGACTTTGTTCTCAGGAAAAAGACAAAGTCATCTTGAGGCTCTCACCCACTCCGGTCAGTGCACGCACTAATGATGTGCTTACCTCGCAGTTGCTCAGATCAAGAGAAACCGCCTTCAAGCTATGGTTACAAGCCAGGCCCAATAACAGCGCTCTGAGGGAGACAGGAAAAAACAACCACGTTAGACACAGCACGCCACTTTGCACCAGGAAAAAAAAAAAGTCCAAGCACATTGCATAAAATACCAAGAAGCAGGCCTCTTTACCGAGTCACAGGCCAAGCACTAAGGCAGCACCACCTCACATTTTAAAATGCCAACTGCACAGCCGCCTCCCCCTGGGAGTGGAGAGCTGGCGCGAGGCATTCTGCTGTCTGACAAGGTGCAGGTCCATGCGGAACGCACACGCCAACAGCACTGCTATTCCTATGCAAATAACCCAACAGTGCGCCTAATTGCACACTGAGATTCAATTGTGTTCATCGCAGATAAATCCCCACCTGCGTCTGCTTGACGATGGCTGTAATAATGTTTGGAATATTATTAGGCAATTGTTACCAGAGTAGCAGAGTAAAAGCTGGCTCCCCACCAAGGGAAATGTGAACAAGGGAGTCAGGCTCACCCATACTCCAGGCTGTGCACTTAAGCCTCAGTGTGTTCGTACAAGGACCTACATCGATGTTATAGGAGAGGGCACAAGAACACAGACGATAAGATCCACATCTTGAGCTTGAACCCAAGATCTTGGCGCTCCCACTACCGGATAGCTAGCTCGCTGGACATACCGTAGGACTGCTCTGAAAAGGAATCTCCTCATTTGAAACTGCGGAGATTGGACTAATCACTCAGGCCTTGAACTCCCTGCGCGAATAACTTTATTCCACTAGTATAGGTCCGTGCTATATAATTCACCACCACCGAGCGGGCATGAAACAAAAATTTCACACATGTACGTGAGGCCCAGCCAATCATTCAGAAAGGACAAAAGGCCCCAAGGAGCCTGTGAGGAAGGCCAAATGAGCAGGAGCTGCTCTGGGGCTGAAGCAATGGAGTCAAGTGTGTGCACAAAAAATGTAACAACAAGCAGAGAGCAGCACGCACCAAAGCCTTGCTCTGTGGAGGTGACCAGCCTCATTGCTCTTGGGGAAAAGCTGGCCAGCCTACTCCAAAATCCCACCAGCTAAGAGGGAGGTGGGATGCGAGGGAGTTACAGTTAAACCTGGGAAAGTTACAATGTAGGTAAGGCAGAAACCTGTCAGAGGAGGAAAATTCAATTATTTCCCTCTAAAGCAGTGGTTCTCAACCTTGCTAATGCTGCCACCGTTTAATACAGTTCCTCATGTCATGGTGACCCCCAACCACAAAATTATTTTCGTTGCTACTTCATTACTGTAATGTTTCTACTGTTACGGATCGGGCGACCCAAAGGGGTCACGACCCACAGGTTGAGAACTGCTGCTCTAAAGCAAGTGAGAGAAGAGTGCTAACATTGTACTCACTGTCATTGGCGAAAAACTTATGAGACCAGTAAAAACAAGGCCGTCCTCCTGGATACTGACTATTTCATGGCCAAGCTCCTGTTCTGCTGTCAGATCCCCTCTGAGAGGGCCCCCTCCAGGTACTCTCTGGTCCTCCAACTGCAGGGCAACCCCAGCAGAAGGCATGGTGCTCAAGAGGCTCAGCTGCTGCCAGCACAGAACGGCTCCTCAGGGTGACCAAGGTCACAAATCCTTAGCGAACCAGACTGTCTCGTCTCTCTCACATAGAGCAGCAAATGGGTTCAAACTGCCCAACTTTCTGTTTTCATCACAGTGCTTAACCTACTGTGGTAGTTACATAATTTCACGTCAACTTCGTGATATATGAAAGTGTAGGGGTGGCGTCTAGTCTGTCAATCAGGTCACAGCCTGATGGTGACTCCTTGTGGGCGTGGCCTTCTCCTAAGGAGGGTCCTGGAAAGCTCCCCCACTCCTTCTCTCCCTTCATCTTCCTGCTGGCTGACCCAGATGGCTGCCAGAGCCCTGTGATGCACCCACTGCCATTGGAGCCACACGATTTTGCACCCACCAGTCTGTGATCTTCCTGCATTCCGCACCGTTGCACATGGCTGCGCGAGTCTGAAGAGGGACTTATGGACTTGGGTTGGACTGGGCTTGGGTGTTTCTCCATACATAATCACTTCTTGATATTAAGCTCTGTCTAACACATCCATAAGTGTCGCTGGAGGCCTCACACACCTACTGGGCCACCAGAGCTCCTGCTCTGTTGTCAGACACCTTCCTGAGAGACTTCTTATGGACTAAGGTAGCCTCAAAGGAAAAAAATAATAATAAAATCAGCAATCACTGCTTTGTATTGCTTAATTGAGAACATTCTGTCTCAATTTAAAGTATTACTCTCAGAAGAAGTCGCTTTGCTTTAGCTTATTCTCATGGCTCCTTATCTCAAACCCTTCAAGAAACAAGGATCTATTTTTCCCTTTTGGTGTGGTGGAAGCCAATGTGGATGGAGTACAACCAAGAGCCAGTACAGCTGGTTGACAGTGTGGGTGCTGTAACGCACATCCAAAAAGCCCCTTCCCTGCAAAGAAGAGCTTCGCCCGGGGTAGCACTTTCTAGGACAGCCTGCATTCAAGGACTGACAGCAAAGAGGCACAGAAGCCCAACCTCCTTACCCTAGTTTGGGACGACTCTAAAGAGTCATTCTAGATTCAAGATTCCTATAGTGTCAGCTGAGGCCGCGACTGGGAAGGCACCTGGTTCAATATCTCCCTCTACCGATCCTATGTCTCTCCCTCCCAGCACCTCCAACAGGTGGTACTTCCAAAGGCTCTTCCTAATAAATGTCCTTCAGGCCAATCTCCTTCTTCAAGTCTGCTTCCCGGAAAACTCAACCTACAGTAGTGACTTTGGGCAAAGGACTTAAGCTTCTTTGAGCACCCATTTTCTTAACCACAGACAGAGGTAAGATTAGCATCTGCGCTCCACAACTGCTCTCCCTGTTCAAGGTGCTGCTCCACAGAGAAGCATTTGTGGATTATCCATGGGGGTGGGGTGAGGATGGGGGGTGGGGTGTTGTCGTATCCTGTGGGTGCTGTGGAGTTGGTTCTGAATCATGGCAACCCAGAACTGCCCTAGAGGGTTGCTCGGCTTTCAACCTTCACAGCGGCACACTGTTAGGCCTTTCCTTCAATAGCAGCTTGCTCACATCTCGGTTAACAGCCCAGTGGTGCTTAACCATTGAGCCAACAGGAAATTCCCATCCATCTCTAACCTCCTATAGGTAAGACTCTGGGAAGCCTCATGTTTCATGAGGCTTTTGCAAAGTATGTAATTCATATTCAATCTACATGTAAAGTCTCCCCTCAGTATTTGAAGAGGATGGATTGGTGGGCCTCCCCCACATCCGAGTGCTCAAGTCTCTTCTATAAACAGCACAGTATTAGCACACAGCCTCTGCACAGCCTCCCATGTACCTAAAACCTGTCTGCATCCCTTATAACACCTAATGCAATATAAATATGCAAACAGTGCTCTAGGCTCCCTCTCAGCCTTTGAGGAATTGCTCTGACCACTGACTTGCCCCCATTCCCTTACCCCAACTCAATATTGTAAGTCAGCGCTTGATTGGAATGTGCCAAACGCCAGGAAACTGGGTACAGAATTCTGTTTACAGAAATCTTCAGCCATGAAGCCCTTTTCCTCACATTTTCATTTTTACTGAGTAAAAAGCAGAACTGAAGACATGACTGAGTTGACATTATTAAATGCTCACATACAACATATCCTAAGACTTAGCTTGGTGAAGCAGAGGGGCAGTGAAAAAGAGGAGGGGCCTCCATGAGAGGGGCTTACACAACGGCTGCGACAATGGGCTAGGACATAAAAGCAACGGAGAGGAGGGTGCAGCACTGGGCAGTGTTTCATTCCACTGCATCTAGGGAGTCACCATGAATCAGAACTGACTTGAAGGCACCTAACAAGTCCAATAATAAAGATTCAGCAACAACAAATATATAGACTTTTAACAACAAATATTTAACAACTATAATGTTCATAAGTATTCATGGGAGGTTCAAAAAGTTCCTGGGGAAAATGCAAATGAGACATCATGGAATCTATGAAGAAGCACTTGGATGAATAATTAGTTAGGGGCACGGAAAGGGAGCACGGGGGAAATTGGGAGTCAACCGCAATGGGTCTCAGAAGGAAGAAAATGTTTCAAAGTTGATTACAGCGGTGACTGCACAGTCCTTCTCAATATGACCCAACTATTGAGTTGTATATATTAATTCCAGATCAATAAAACATTTTAAAAAAGAAATCTAATGGAATCTCTCCATGAGCTTTCTGAAGCCCTCTCCCACATCTTTAATAAACTCCAGCACATCCAGTATTGCAATGGTGTGGAACAGTCTATGAAATCAATTATGCTAAGCAATGAAGACATTCTGCAGAGATCAGCAACATTGAAAAAATTAGAATACAGTGTCCCTCCCAATAAGACTATTTTGGATCATGTGCATTAGCAGGTGACATGTTGGGTTGCTAAGCACAGGTCAGCAGGTTCCACCTCACCAGCTGCTCTGTGGGGTAAAGAGAGGTCTTCAGTTCCTGTAAATATTTACAGCCTGGGAAACCCACATGGGCCCTCTACCCCGCTCTTCCTATAGGGTGACGACAAGTCAGAATCGGCTCAATGGCAGTAAATGTGTTTTCTGATAGTTTCTCATTGATCTCTTACGGGAGCACACACAATGTCTGGTTCCGCCTTCTCCGAGGCCCATGTTAAATGAACAGATGTGCCACTAAATTGGGTTACCATACAAGGGAACCCCTTTAAAATATTGATTCTGATAGCATAATTAATGGCTATATAAATAGCCTTAGCATGGGGCATTTATTATTTGCAACCCTGCACGTACAGACCCATATATTAATTCAGGAGCCCTGCTGGCACAGTGGTTAAGCATTTGGTTGCTAACCATAAGGCCAACAGTTTGAATGCACAGGTTAGTTTATAAAAGCTGTGGCACTCTTCAATGAAGACTAACCCCAAACCCACTGCCACTGAGTCAATTCTAACTCATTTTGACTCTCTCTAGGAATTCTGAGGCTGTAAGTCATTTTGGGGGCAGCTAACCTCATCTTTCTCCATCGGAGCAGCTGGGGAGTTAGAATGGCAGACCTTGTGGCTACCAGCTCAATGTCTGACCCACTATGCCACTGGGGATCACTCAGTCAAGACTGCAGTCATATAAACCCTGTGAAGACAGTTCTACTTTATCCTAGAGAGTAACTCTTTAGGATTGACTTCATGTCAGCTTTTCAGTTTTTGGTTTTTTAATGGAACTTCTTAATTCAATGTTTTCTTTTGAGCATCCTATAATGTCAGACTTGCTTAAGCCCTTCCCGGGATCTAGCATTTAGAAAATATTATGTGGAGCACGGTTATAAAAAGCTTCAGACTTCTTACAGAAAATAAAAAGACAAGGCAATGTACAAATTACATGACAGGCATTTTCCAGGACAATGAATGGTAGCCACTGGTTTTAACATTCGACACCAGTAAGTGGGGGCCGGGGGGTAGTGGGGGAATGATGACTTACATGTTAGCTGAGGAAAAGGAAGAACCTAGGCATGCATTTATGCATACCCAACAGCATGCATATTCATAACTGCGCTGAGACTACTTCTTTACTCAGAGGGCATTTTGAATCTATAGCCCTGGTACACTGAACTTTTGGATGTTTCGAGAGAGACTGAGCAGGAATCTCAAGGACAACAATCTATTCTCAAACCTCAATTACCGGGAAATGTGTATCTCACCACTACATCTTTACAAAAGGGTTATTCACCAGTAACCTCCATTGGTGGGCACACAAAAAAGCCAAAGGCCACAAGAGAGGAATACTTGCACTGACCTGGGTAATTCAGAAATGAAATGCCCCAATTTTGACTCAGTTGCTTATAAATATAAGGTGTATATAGATTTGATCACTATTGTTGAAATATTTAGAATAAACACAGATTGAAAAACACTTAAGAACAGGCCTAAAAATGACTGAGCAGAGGTTAAAATCAAGTCACTGGGGCTTTTGAGTCTAACGCTGACAAAAGAGAAGTGGCAACAGCCAAAGTTGTGGCCCGGAATAAGTGTTCTCCCCGCCCCCGCCCCCCCCCCCCCCCGGCCCCAAGATGCAATAATGCCCGAAGTACTCGCTTTGATCAAAAAGCATTTAATTGACTCCAGTGCCTTGGAGTCAGAAGGCATCCTTGCCGCCTTCTCCATCTTTAGATTGTGTATCTTACTTCAACCCCTCAAGCACATTCCAAATGACAAATTGAACTTTAAAAGCTCTGTAGAAAATGAATTAACTACTCACTTTAAGGGCTCCGGAGACAGTTTTGTGCCTGAAAGGTTGATTTGCATCAGAGCCAGAGAACTGCTAAAAAACTGCTTGAAAGATGGGGGGACATCTTTTCCTTTCCTGGAAAATAAAACACAAGTCGCGTGACTGGTCTCACGTCTGTCCCAGCACTCTGCACCTCCCAGCTGCCATGCATCCCCATGGCTATGCATACGCTGAGGATGAATCCAGGAGTCAGTGGAAATAGGACGTTAAAAGTAATACAAAGTCTGCAACCTAGAGAAACAGATGTGGTACAATTAAAGGAACTGTATGCTGGGTGAAGGCATCTCCTGAAAACAATTGATTGGCTTTCGTTGTAGCCAATCAAGTCAATGGCCTTTCTCCCCCTGGATCTCCCAGGAAACTCTGTTTGGATTTTTTAAAAAAATAATTTTATTAGGGGTTCATACAGCTCTTATCACAATCCATATCTGTGTTTGGATTTTAAGGAAATGGGAAGTAATGGAAGATGTGTATCTCCTACCAATTTAAAGAGCTTTCTCACGGGTTGGCATCCAGTGTTAAGGATCACTCACTACCTGCATTTGGCAATAGTTTGTCTATACAGCAAGCCACAGATGCAGTACAGTTGTGATCCAATGTCAAGCTGAGGAACAGCATAGAAAGCTTGAATGGCATGAAGCCCATATGACAAACAGCCTGTTCAGCTATGGCAGACATCCTGCAAATCTCATCTGTTCAAGCCAAAGATGAAAACAATGACACAGCTCCACATGGAGATGTGCAACACCTCTACAGATATGCCCTTGCTGGTACGGTGAGAAGCAAGTGGATCAAACCCAACAGCTGCGGGACACTGTGGCGGCAACACCATACTTGTCTAAGAAAAACAAGGCTCAAGAGCAGAAGCTGGAATGTGAACACTTGGCTTGCTCTGTTCTGTCTGTTAGAGTGATGGAAAGAACGAACAATCCACACACAAGGCATTTAACTCGCTGCTGCACCGTGAGCGCTCATTCCATCTCAGGGATTCATCTGCTGAGAAGGGAGCCACAGACACTCAAGTCAGAAGATGAATGAACGCTAGTCGTCTAACTCTGCCGCATGCCAGGCAATAGTATTTAATGAGCACAGATCCAGGAGGGTCTACAAAGGTTTCAAAGCAGGACAATTTCAGACTCTGAGGAAGAAAGATCTTTATACTCGGAGAAGATGAGAAATAAAAAAACCTAAGTGAAAAGAAAACGCTGGTAAAATATGATATTATACAGTTTCAGGTAGTAGTCGGTGCATAACCTTGTACCCTCCCATTCACTTTTTGATGAGCAAATGTTATTCTTTGAATATTGTTTTCCTGTTACTTTGTTTCCAGGTAGACCCTATCAGAGCGTTTCCAAACCTTCACTTTCTAAGACCAGATCCATCGAAGGCAGGTGTGGCCATGTAAATTCCTTTGGGCAGGGGGATGGGGCAGTCTTAATGTGTGTGACTTCCAGGCAGAAGTTTTAGGAGTCAATATGTGTGCTGTCCTGTCCTGATGTCCCTGTCATCGGCAATGGGACAGCAAGGTAGCCAGTGGAAGCTGTTCTGCATCTCAGAGCAAAGATGATGTGCACAGTACCGTAGCCAGACGCCCCTCCGGCAGGTCACAGAACCACAGTGATGAAAGCTTCCTCCACCTCACACTCCTTGATCTACTGGGGACTTGTGGCTTGCTATTGTGCAGACCAACACCACTGTTAAAGTATTACACCAATAACCCACTCCCACAGAGTCCCATCTGGACTAACCCACAGTGACCCATCTGAAGAGAGTAGGGCTGCCCCATGGGGTTGCCCTGGTGTTAAATCTTTACAGAAGCAGGTTGACACATTCTTGTCCAATAAAGCGCCTGGTGGGTTGGAACTGCCATCCATTTAGTTTGCTGCAGCTGAGCACTCATCCACTGCACAATCCAGACTCTTCTAAGGACACTGACAGTACTTTAGAATTCTTCATTTGGAAGGCACCAATGTGAGACAAAGCATGCCACCACACTGGATCTTTAAAAGTACCGTATACACTTGTGTAGAAGCAGAGTTTTACAGCACATTTTTAATGCTGGTTTTGTGGTAAAATTAGGTGCCTTGGCTGATATTCGGGTCAGCTTATACTAGAGTATATAAGGTAAGTCTTGTGGCTTTCATTAAGTTCATGAGGAAATGGAAACAGAAGATCAGGACACTTTTCCACGAACTTTTTAAAATCCTCAAGTACAATTTCTTAAACGTCAACCAAGTACTATACAGATCATTTATAATTTTAAACAATTCTTCATGTTCCTAAACAGAATATGATGGGGACTACAGTAAGGGAGAAAGAGGAGGAGAATTATAGCCTCAGAAACTCACGGGGCAGTTTTCCCCTGTCCTGTGGAGTCACTATGAGCCTAAATGGACAGGATGACACAGAGAGTGAAGGGTTCTTTCAATGACTCAAATACTGTTTACGACTTAATGGTAATGATAAAGAATGCTAAGCATTGTACAAGGAGCCCTGGTGGTGCTGTGAGCTCAGCACAGAGCTGCTAAATACAGAGTGGGTAGTTCAAACCTACCCATCACTCTGTAGGAGAGAACCAAGGCTTCCTGCTCCCAGAAAGCCTGGGCGGTCTCGGAAACTCGAAGGAACTGTCTTCCTCTGTCAGATAGAGGCTTTCTGTGAGTAAATGGACTTCATAATAGGGGGTTGTTGTACTGTATCAATACATGAGATGATCCCTGAATATGCCATATTCACATAGAAAGTCCTGGGCAGAGGGGAAGGGAAGGTGGAGTGGAAAGGGGAACAGATCATAAGGATCTACATATAACTCCCTCCCTGGGGGTCGGACAACAGAAAAGTGGGTGAAGGGAAACATCAGTCAGTGTAATACATGAAAATAATAATAATAATTTATCAATTATCAAGGGTTCTTGAGGGAAGGAGGGTGGGAGAGGGAGGGAAAAAAATGAGGAGCTGCTACCAAGGGCTCAAGTAGAAAGAAAATGTTTTGAAAGTGATGACAACAGATGTACAAATGTGCTTGACATAAGGAAAGTATGTATGGGTTGTAATAAGAGCTGTATGAACCCCCAATAAAATGATAAAAAAGAAAGTAAGTCCTGGTGGTGCAGTGGTTATTCTTTGGACTGCTAATTGCAAGGTCAGCAGTTCGAAACCACTAGACACTCCATGGGAGAAAGAGGAAGCATTCTCCTCGCCCCATAAAGGGTTAAGATCTTGGAAAATTATGAGGCTAGTTTTATCCTGGCCTGAGTTGGGATCTACTCAATGGGAATGAAACTCATTCATTTTATAAACTTTTCACAATTCTTCTGTATTTGCCTGCCTTCTAAGTTGTGGCTGTTTATAAATTGTTGCTGCTTCTCATCTGCTGTGTTATTCTGCAAACAACTGTAAGTCAGAGGACAGCGGATAGGTACTTAGGTATTTTTACAAATTAGAATGCATGAGCGTTGAGATGACTGGCCTTGCTCCCCTGAGGTAATTCATACTCACTGCCACGTTCATGAGAGAATACCTTGTTCACTTTCTCAGAGGGGGGTTATGATTATCACCGAGTGCCTGCCCTTAAATGGGAAGTTATCCACTATCACAGAGTCCATACAGACAGGCTGCTATTATTGATAAGAATATTAACTCAGAGTGGATAAAGATAACAAAGCCTGAACTTTCAAGGTCTACTCTTTGTAGGCAAAGGCTGAGGCAATCTTCTCCCGCCATGCACAGTCATCACCCTTAGCACCCGGTTTTCATTCTGCTGTAGCGTTCTTGGGAAGACTTTCCCGGATGACCATACCGGTGAGAAAAGACGGCTCTGGAGAGATTGAGCACCGCTAAATGTTGAAGGCATCCACGGAGGAGAGCGCCACAGACCTGGAAAGAAACAAGAAGCCATATTAGCCACAGGCTGCGTTGAACCAGGCTCTACTTGATGGCAGTGAGCTTTTTTCTTTTGAGTTACATGAAAAGTATTTTATTACAGAGAAAGCCCCCAGCCCCCGCCCCAGAGTGTAATATAAAACACACACACACACACACACACACACACACATATATTACCATGTCCAGGGAGCACTCTGTATTAGATAAGTCCAGATGAACAATGGCATTTGGCTGAGCCAAAAAATTGTACATGTACTTGAAAAAAAAACACAAACAAGCATATATTAGGGATCCAGAAACACATACATACACATCCCCTGGCAGCTTTAAAAAACAACTTGCCCAATGTCCCCTAAGATCATTCTTCACTCTTCCCAAGAGGATCAGAAGAATTTTCTTGCTCATTCCATTCTCTTCCCCGAGAGCCGAAATAAGAATTAATGAAATAAAATCATGTTTGAAGAAAATGAGGCCTCATGGAATCTTGGCTAGCCAAGTCCCCCTTTGCTACGCTTGATTTGGTCTTCCTGATTAGCTCAGCTTTTATAATACAGTTTTGGAACAGTCCTAATTAATTGTTAACTCCTGAGATGGAATAACACCTGAATTGCAGTCACCCTATCAAAATGCTAATCATTGTTTGAAAGTGTTGAAGAAAGCACTCGTTTGAATCTGGACTACAGGATGCTCTCAGATCATACTGTCTTGTAGTCAATATATGAAGTTTCCTAGCCTTACTTACTTGCAAAATCTAACCAGACATGCCTGGTATTATTATCAGTACAAAACAAAACTTGCCACATAGCCACAACACTTCAGGCTTCAAGGGATAACAGAACCTACACTCTCCCCTCATCAAGCCTATGAAAACAGTAAAAGTGATCATTCTCTGTTGTTCTCCAATGGCCCATGTGAGGAGCCGAGGCCAGCTAACAAACTGGGCCCGGCTCTCTGCCACTCGATTCCCCTCCCCTTCACCAGATAACTGCAAAAGTAAACAAGCTTCAACGGAGCGGAGCGTGCCCCAGGTCCCGGCACGGTGCTGCGGAAAACTCTTCTCAACCCAGGAATTGCGAAGTGCAAAGATTACTCTGTACATACCTTAGAATAACCGGACACACAGAATAGATTATGCAAAGTGCTGCTTGGGGGTGGGGGAGTGTTTGTGCTCACACGAAGAGGTCCTAGGACTGTCACTGTTCTTTTCTTTTTAAACATTAATTAAATTATTTTTATTAGTCATTTTATGGGGGGATCCTTACAAATCTTATGACAATCCATCACAGGATTAAGCATACTTGTACATGTGACCATCAATATTTCCAAAACAATTCCTTTCTACTTGAAACCTTTGGAATCAACTCTTTTTCCCTTCCCTCCCCACCCTTGTGGATCCTTGATCAATTATATACTATTATTGTTATTGCTTGTCTTATACTGTTTGTTTTCTCCCTTCACCCACGTTTCTGTTATTCGTCCCCCTGGGGGAGGAGAGCTATATATCAAACCTTGTGATGTGTTCCCCCTTTCTCCCCTTCCCCCCACCTCACCCCTACCATCCCCCTACCCTCATGATATCGATACTCCCACTACTGTTCCTGAGGTTTCATGTCCTGAATTCCATGTGTCAAGAGCTCTTATGTTTACCAATGTGTGTACTTTGCTCTAGCCGGATTTGTAAGGTAGAACTGAGTCATGGTAGTAGGGGGAAGAAGTATTCAGGAACTAGAGGAATGATGTGTGTTTTGTCAGTGCTATACTGCATCCTGGTTGAATCGTCCCTTCCTTGTAACCCTTCTGTGGAGGGATGTCCAATCATCTACAGATGGGCTTTGGATCACCACTCCAACCACCCCTCTTTCACATCAAGGTAATTGTTTGTTTTGAATCTTTGGATACCTGATACCTGCTCCCATCAACACCTCATGATCACACAGGTTGGTGTGCTTCTTCCATGTGGGCTTATTTGCTTCCCTGCTAGATGGCTAATTGTTTAACTTCAAGCCTTTAAGACCCCAGATGCTAAATCTTTTGATAGCCAGGCACCATCCATTCTCTTTACCACACTTGCTTATGTACCCATTTTGTCTTCAGCGATCGTGTTGGGAAGATGAGTATCAAAGAGTGTCAGGTTATTAGAACAAAGCATTCTTGTGTTAAGGGAGGCCTTGAGTGGAGGCCCAAAGTCCATCTGCTCTCTCAATACTTAACATATAAATATATGTTGGCCTCTATCCCTTCCATTATAAATTAATATATTTGCATATATGCATGCCTGTAACTACACCTCTGTAAAGAGCTTTGGCTCCTGCTTCTTTCTCCATTTCCTCTCACCTTCCTCCTGTCCCACTAGCATGCTCACCCTCTCCTCGGCTCTCAGTGATTCCTCTTGGATACATTGAACTTGACTGAACCCCACCAGGCATTATGTGCCTTCCTCGTCATCAATTTTAGATCTCTTGTTATCCCCTTATCCCCGAGTTTGTTGGATCCCTACCCACTCCTCTCCTATGTCCCCCCCAACCTCCCAAACTGCCAATCCTTGGGATTGTTCACCCTGCCTATCTTACATAGATAGACATAGGGTAAAAGAAAAAAAACACAAAACCAAACAATCCAATAGATAGTTCCAGGTCTGTCTGCTGACCCTAATGTGTGTTTTCCAATCAAGCCTAGTGACTTCGCAGCCCTGGTTGCATTGTGGAGTATGTGATGGGATACTAATCGCAAGGTCAGCAGTTCAAAACCACCATCGGCTCTGTGAGTGAAAGATGAGGCTATCTATTCCCCAAAAGAGTTAAGAGCCTCAGAAACCCACAGGGGCAGTTATTCCTTGTCACTGCAAGTCGGAACTGACTAGACAGCAGTGAGTCTCTGAGTGGGCTTGAAAGAAGACATGGTGGTAGAGTGCTTAAGTATTAGAGCGGCCCACCAAAAGCTTGCTGGTTTGGTCTCTTCAGCCGCTCCATGGGAGAAAGGTAAGGCTGTCTCCTTCCAAAAGGACTGCAGCCGTGGAAACCTTATGGTGCACTTGTACTCTGTTCCCCGGTGCTGCTATGACTGGGAATCAATGTGAAGGCAATGAGTCTTAGTGGCCTGAAGAGAGAAGGCTGGTGTGGCTTTACTCTGGGCCACCAGCGGGGGGAGCTCTAATCTCCCTGAAGTTGGTCAATACCACCTCAAAGACACAGGCCCTACTGGGCTGTTTTCCCCTAAAGGAAAGGTGGTTCCAAGTTCTGGTTGCAAACTCCCAGGATCTCTCAGGAAGCTGTGTGCCCCCTCTCTCACACAGGCATGAATCTGCTCCCCGCTGGCCAGAGGCAAGCTGGGGCAAAATCTACCATGGCCAGGAAAGAAGTCTGGGGCCACTTTGCCTGCTGTGACTATTAATGCCTCTACTTGAGCTGAGCTTTCTTACTTAACCTTCAGTGACTTCTTGTATCCTTCCCTCTGTTTTCTCTTGTGCTGCCAGTGTGATGTTTTAGGCAGTTCACATCAGACCCCGTGCTATTCCTTGGGAAAAGAAGGTACAAATGAACTCGAAGAGAGACAGAAAAACTCACAGCACCCTAGAAAACGGTGTTGTCTAACTGATTTCAAAAGCCAGGGAGGGGAAATCAAGCCAAACTACAATAAGGACTTTGGAAACATCCCCTGCGGAGGGGAATGGGAAGCAGACAAACACAAATAAATCCCATAAAGTTAGAAAATGAACAGACAGGCCCTTCAGAGATGGCCCCTTTGTGTGAGCCCTATCGTTACTGGATTTTCTTCTACTCATGAGGACCAGAAGGGGCCACTCAGCACACGTGGCAAGGGTATCCTGCACAACCCACTCTATGCATAAGTGTTGCAAACATTCATATGACTGAGTTCGTCTCATTACAAATCTTGTTGAGCGGAAGCTTTTTGCCTGTGTCCTCCAACTCTCGAGAGTGGCCCCAGTTTCCTCCTAACCTCATCCCCCAAATGTACTCATGGAATAAACTCCCAGGGCTCTGAACCCACTACTACTCTGACTCAGACAGGAGGGCTGTGAGGCAGAATCTACCAGGTGGTAATTGGGTGTGGGGTTTGTCCCGACTCCCCTTTCACTTACAGACCATTAAAAACAGACCCACATCTGCAACAACACTGGGCAACGATGAAAACATTTTTATTATCCATCTTTCTTCTCCAGCCCTTTAAAAAGTTGCAGTAATATTTTTAAATGAAAACAAAACAAAACCCTCAGAAAAAAAATTTCCCAAAGAATTAGAACTTCAGCATCACTAAATTATAGGAATGGGGAGGGGGACCCTTATAGTGATGGACTACATTTAATTAAAGAAGACTGTCAAGTTTTCTTGAACACACTTAACCTTGGAACATAATTATTTTATGATATCACATTAGAGGAACAGGCAAGGTGATACATTAGAATGCCATGTCTAGACGTTCGTCCAGGTTCATTAAGTACAATTGACTAGACGGTGGGAGTAAGGAAAAGTGACCCTACCGAGAGATCATCTCCACGCAGGACGTTCCCTGAGAGGTCCAGGTGGAGGAGGGTGGTGGCGGTCAGCGGGTTGGCACTGAGCGGCTGAGAAAGGCTATTCACCCCTGCAACAGAGAAAAGACCTAGGTTCAATTTCCGCTCCAGGAAACAAACCGAGGCCTGACAGTTTCTATAAATGGCCCAGTCCAAATTGCAGGACTGAAGTTAACCATAAGCACAGACCAAAAAGGTGTGTCATCTTTTGCTATGCCCTCAGGAAGAACAAGTTAGTCATAAGTACAACCATCTCCTTGAGGAGGAGAGAAGAATGGAATCCACCTCATTTTGCTCCACCTACTTGGTGTTCTAGGAAGGAAACGATTCTATTCTGGCAATAAAGCATGCTTTCTTTGAATGATGCAAGCTGGTGGGTGAACAATTTTCATTCTTCTCTTAAATCCTGCCAGGTGGATCTTGACTTAGGGCTTAAATGAGGCTGTGTTTAAATGAGGCATGCCCAAATTCAGACGCTTCAGGCTTCTTAAAGTACCAGGAAGTTAATACAGGACTGTGCTCCTCGACTTAATGTATCACACTCGGGATAACACTGGGATTATACTGGATTTTATAAAGATTGAGGAGGGAATCTCCACCTACGTAAGAAGTAATTGAACAGGAAAGTGGACCTTTTGTTTAAAGACTAGGCATCATTTACATATATAACATCAATGTCTCATAACTAAACCAACACACATTACCTTAGAAAATAAGGAAGGCACGCATGGAAGGCAAGGAGGGAGCTGTGTTCTGTTGTGTGTGGATCACGGCAATTGGCCTAGGTAACCACTAGGTCAAACAGTGCCTTCTGGTGGGTGGATTTTTCTCAGGTCACCACTTCCTAGTAGATGTTACAGGGACACTGCAAGTTGGAATCGACTCAATGGGGATAGATTTGGTTTGGACCAGTGGTTCTTAACCTTCTCATGCAATGACCCTTTAACACAGTTCCTCATGTTGTGGTCACCCCCCAACCATCAAATTATTTTCGTTGCTACTTCATCACTGTAATTTTGCTACTGCTATGAATTGGGCGAACCCTGTGAAAGGGTCTCGTTTGACGACCCCCCCAAGGGGTCACGACCCACAGGTTGAGAACTGCTGGTTTAGATTATCGAGGCTATATAAAATGGATCTCTGGTTCCATGCTGGGCTGCGAACCATAAAGGTCAGCAGTTCGAAACCACCAGCCATTCTGCAAAAAGAGAAAACGAGTTTCTAATCCCATGAAGAGCTACAGTCTCAAAAACTCACAGGGGCAGTTCTACCCTACCCTGTAGGATGGCTATGCATCAGGATTTACTCGACGACAGTGAGTTTGAGCTTAGGTTTGAATTAAAGGTGCTAGATACCTACCACCTGTCAGTCTGTGGTCCTGTGGTACCTTGAGAGTCCCTATGATGCTAGAGCCTACACCACCAATACGACCACCCATTATGTTCTGAGTTCAGCAGAGCTTCTTCCAAACACAAGAGACTAAAGAAAGGCTCTGGCAATGTACTTCCAAAAAGCCATGCACTGAAAACTTACACAGCATATGTCTACTCTGATCAACTCTCGGGAGCCCCGGGAGCTCAATCTACTTGACAGTATCTGCTAATTTTTTTGTTTTGCTGTTGTTGTATTTATGTCAAGATAAAACGGAGGCCCAGAACTATCTGCTCACTAATTGGAGTCTGCAGAGGCCAGGGCACTCTGAACATTGCTGGTAATTATCCTGAGGATAAACATAGAGATGGTATAGAAAAGCTACCATCGCTACTAGAAGCCTATTGTTCCAATTCAAAATATTTCAGAACTATGTTGATTTAAAAATTGAATGTGTATTTTAAAATTATATAGCTTTTCTTGTTCTTTAGTAAGAATACATTTTTCTAAACCACAGTCTATATACAATATTCTAAGAAGAAAATGGGAAAGGGGGTTCTAATCCACATTTGGATTGAGCAGAAGAGCAAGGGGTCAGGGGCCAGGCCTGCCAGTATGAGCCAGATCTAGCTATGTCAACAAGAACAGTAAGGGATTCCAGAGAAAACATCTAGGAACTCTGGTGATGCAGTGGGTGAAGCATTGGGCTGCTGACAGGTTGGCAGTTCAAATCCACCAACAGTTCTGAGTGAGACGGATGTGGTAATCTGTTTCCATGAAGATTTATAGTGTTGGAAATTTTATGGGAAACTCTATTCTGGTCTATAAGCCTGCTATGAGTTGACATCGACTAGTCGGTAGAGTTTTTCTGTTTTTAAAAGTAGCCCTGGAGGTAAAGTGGCTTACATGTTGGGCTACTAACCATAAGCTCAAGAGTTCTAAACCACCAGTGTTCCACGAGAGAGAATGACACTTTCTACTCCTGTAACGACTTACAGTCTTAGAAAACTCACAGAGGGAGTTTATGTTGCTTTTCTGGGTTGCTAAGAGTTGGAATTGAATCACTGAATCGCTAGCATGGAGTATCTGAGCTGAGGGCTGCATGTGCCCTACCCTACACCTCATCTCCTCAAATGCTTCCCCCTGAAGCACCACCCTACAGCAGTCTTTCCTTATGTTAACAAAGCCATAGTATAGTACAGTGGGTTGTAGCCCTCATCCTCTCTGAGTTATGAGAACAGCAAAGAAATAGATGGAAACACATGCCACACAACTCCCACCAAATGCTGGAGTTATCAACCAGGAAGATCCGCCCACGAAAGTCACACCTGGAAATGGAACCTTTAACCTCCAGGAATGTGAGGAAGTCAAATAAAATTCTGTTCTTTAACTTTAAAATACTGTAGTATTTCTGGTAGGGCAACCCTAGGACTAAGACACTACCGCAGCCTCTTCAAACTCAGTCCAGTGGGACAGACAGACATTCAAATAAGCCCAATCCCAGAAGTGTGATCCAAGAGGTAGGAAACCAGGACTTGCCAAGGAAGGAGGTGGCTTGGTTAATTGGGACTGTGTTAGGAAAGAGCAACCTGAAATGATCTACACACAACAGTTCGTGTCTCTATGTAGCTTCTGCAATTCTTGAAGTGACCAAGTTTCTGCAGTCTGTCCTGGGACACATAGTACTCATGCACTTTTTTCATGTAATAATTGCATGGAAAACATATTGAGAATACCAGGCTGTCACCAGGAAAAACCATGCGTAAAATAATTTCCGTAGTGAGGTATAACAAAACTGGATAAATAAATCCCCAATTAGAAGAGCAAATTAGTCCCGACAGCAAAATATCCCTTGACAAGTGCAGGCGCTTGGCAGTCGGCCAACGTCAGACCGGAACCGGAAGAGAATCCTGTTATCAGCTCAGCTTCAAGCTCCTGGAGCAGAATGAAGGGCTCTCTCCGCCTCCGCCTCCGTCTCTGCCGCTCACGTGCGGCCTGTTTTAGTCAGCCCACTCATGGCAGGTAATTCCAGAAGTGTAGAATGGAAAAAAGCAGGGCCCTTACAACCCCGACGCCACCAAGATTTACATGTCACTGCTCTACTCTGGCTGCCTGGGGATTCTGAACCGTCTCCGCATCCATTATTGTCATGTTTACAGCTGGAACAGGTGTACCAGATGGCCCTGCCTTGACATAATCTGGCAACCAGCAGCGCATTTGCTAGAAATCGAGAGAGCTATCAGCTAGCTAAGATTCGAGGAAGAGAAAGGGTGTGTGGAGGCCGGTGGAACTGGCACTGGGAAATTTAAAAAAAAAAAAAAAGAAATAGAACACATAAA